CGGTACCGGCGTGCAATGGATGTTTACGCTGTTGAGCCGCAGCCCTGAGAATTTCCCAGACTCGAAGCGAAATTCCCTGACTTGCCCGGTTTTCCCTGACTCCTGCAACCCTATAAAAGCGATGAGCAGCATCCCACAAAGATCGATTCAGAGACGTTCCCTACGATACATTTACCTAGGTGCTGCAGTCCAAAGCGGCTTCTTCTGTGGAGCCTCATGAGTCTGATGTAGCTGAGGTAATAATGGCGAACAACGGATATAGGATGAGGAGGAGGACAAAAAAAGTCGTAGAAGCTTCCTGTCAGGCTATGGCGAGGAAGTATCTAAAACTGGTCTTACAGGAGACAGAAGCAGTAATGCTCTGGGTAAATTGAAAAGACAAGAACGTCGAACTGTCCTTGGCGGGAGCCCCGGCCCTGGAAATGAAATACCTAAGTATCTGGCTAGAAACAAATTGAAAAAGAACTAATTGTAAGCTTGTTGTCAAGACAGCGAAAAGAGTAGCAAAGCCGGTGAGCGACACGGTGGGCGGGTGGAGCGAAATCGGGAAAGACGAAAGTGTTTGTGTTCTGTAACTCACTCTATAATGCTATAGGCAATGTCAGTATGGGAAGAAAAGATCAAAAGGAAGTTTAACAAGGGATCAGCAAGTCTTAGATCAGCGAGACTTTGTGTTTGCTGTTGTCAACAGAATGGTCTTGAATGCAGCACTAGGAGTGTTCACCGGGCTCCCTCCACCTCATCTAATGATCCACGAAAAAATCGTTAGGTAGCGCATGAAGGCGCAGACAGAGAGGTAGCATGACAAGCCGTGCTCCATGAGTGGCTAGCTAGACGGACCGCAGAGCAAGGTAAGGGAGACTGGACCCGAATATTGACTCCGGACGAAAGACACGACGGAGAGTAGACAGACATGGGGACCACACTGAAAAAAAAATCTCGGTGTATTTACTAAGAAAAGTGTAAAATTACCAAGAATTCAGGGTTCTATTTGATCCCAGTTTTTTCTTGGTAAAATTACCATTTATGGAATTGGTAATTTTACCGAGATATCCCGGTAAAATTATTGAACTTTCTTGGTAATTTGCTGGACCTTGGTAAAAACGCCAATATTTTTTATCGACTGTGGTAGAATTACCGAGATAAAATGGCAAAGTTACCGGGAATCGATTACCAATAAAAGTGGTATTCTTACCTGAAAAAAAACAGTAAAAATACCGGTTTATAGGTAAGCTTACCAGTCTATCATGGTAAAATTACCAATAATTGGTAAAAAAAGAGAGATGGTAAAGGCACCAACGGACCTTGGTAAAAACGCCGAGAATTTTTTATCAGTGCAGAGTTGGGCGAATGTTTCCAAACGGTGCCCTTGTGGTTGAAGTATCTATTTCGCTTAGAGTGCACGATAAATCTAGGTGCACCAAACAGATAAAGTATTCAATTTTATATAATCCCCCCGCCAGATATATGCCTGATTAACATCACTGATGGGAACGTCCACTTTCCTCCCCCCAGTTCCTCTCTAGCCACGGGGACTCAAAGGCCTATCCCAAACAGAACACACATTCTTTGTATGCCACAACGGACTACGCAAGGAATAACTACAAAGAAATTCAGCGCCGGCTAAACAACATAATTTGATGTATATGTTCCTGACGGCGCATGAGTAAGATGAGCTTTAAAAATTAAAATTCTGAAAATCGAATTATTTGGCATTCTTCACGTAGTTTCTAATATAGCTGTAGGCCTTTTGTTATGTCTGTGTAGACGCTGTTTTCAATCTGAGGAAACGAAAGCTCTCCTCGATCATAAGTAAGATATCACAACATTTCTGCTAAATAAAATAACAGGTACATGAAAAAATGCCGGAAAAATCACTTTTCAACCCTGCTTTTCTCCAGACTGGCACATAGATAGCATCATATCTAGTAATATCGAAATCAACTGGCGACAAATTTATTGGTACTCAGTTGGACCCTTTCGGGAAAGAGCTGTAAAACGAAATTGCCCTGAGTGTCAAGTCAAAACTCGGGAAACACTGGGTGGTCTGTATGCTGGTAAGCCAACAACATTGGAAGCCTACGCAGAAGTTTGTCCTAGTAGGCTTAAAAATCAAATCTAAGACATGCACACGTGAGCATTCACAACCATAAGCAATATCCTATAGGCTTGTCAGTAGTTCGTGGTAGGACAGAATAGCCAAAGCAGCGGAGATTTTTAGTTGGTAAGCTACTGGTGAGCATACTGAATTCTTTCCTCCCTCCCAAGAGAGAATCTGGCATGCCAGTCTCCAAACATCCCGAGAATACAGGTTTCAAAATGTTTTCCTTTAGTTTAGGTTTAGGATGAGAAAAAAAAAAAAAAAAAAAAAAAAAAAAAAATTAGTGGCATTGAGAGCTTTTCTCAGCCCTGCCTGGATTTTGCTAAATGTTTCATACAGTCAAAGTACTAGTCCTGGGTAGATATATGCCAAATTTTCACTGATCGGAGCTAACACAAAAGCAACAGCGTCTCAAATCCAAAATAATAGACAAGGAAAATAATTGTTATCGCCAACTTCATCAACTATTAGATATCATTCTCCCATGCACTTGATTCTACAGATTTTTTCGCTGAATTTTCACCTCTAACCTTCAAGAGACATCCTTTGAATTTAAAGGAGCCTTTCGGTCCATAGTTGCCATTTTTTGCCAATTCTTCTTCTATTTTTTTTTCTTTCTTTAATCTCATGCATTTGAACTTAGTTTCTCTGGAGACTGTGCCCTTTTTTAAAAAAGTTTAAAAAAATTAGCAAAAAACGCTTATAAAATTTTCCCTCCGTTGCCAAATCATCAAGAGAAATTATTTTGCTCACTAAAATGCCGAAGAAAACTGTGTTTATCAGCAAGTGCAAAGTTAAAAAAAGTGAGGTATAACGATTGAGCATGGTGACTTTTTGAATTTATGGCATTTTTAGCACTTTATAATGATTTTTGTCAAGTACCTACTGGCAACACCAGAAATAGTATCACTTAACTCAGGATATTTTTTTTGATTTATTGAAAAGTGCACATGATGTTAAGACCAAACCAGGTTATACATATATAAACTTAAAAAACTCTAGTAAATGGGCAAAATTAGCACCAGTGGTCGCTAGGACTCATTTAAATGTAATACAGATCATTTTAAGGATCAAACATCCTTTCATTTAAAAAAAGACCGTTGAATGTGACTACCTGTTCAATGTTCATAATGCACTTAATACACTTCGCTTTTCTATTATATTATTGTTTTTTTGATATGTTGTAGGGATGGATAAGAGGTGTTAAGAGTGTTAGCATAAAACTTGCACCACACTCCTTGGCAATGTAATGGGCTTTTTCTTCATAATTTGAGAACATAAGAAAAGATTTGAATTATATTTCCCCTTTGATTTTTTAAGCTTTTCTCAGTAATACGTCAGATTTTGTGGTCAAACTAAATCTTATAAAATTTGATTTTCACGGGTCACTACTGCAGCCATTGATCGCGGACTAAGGCTGCTTTGGGAAAACAAAGTTTAAATGTCTCCTGTTCTGTCTTTGAGTCTGGGTGTGCCTCCGACTTCCACTGATTTCCTTCCCTATCATCCTATTCTATCTGTTTTTGGTTTGGTACAGCCCCATTTTCCACTTATGGCTATACTTTCATTCATGCTTATTTTAGCAAATTTGTCTGAACCTTACTATCATATTTCACCATGAGAATAAAACTTACTCAACCAGGAGATGCGCTACAAAAGGAAAGAATGTCACTACCTTTATGCCAGTTTGATAGTTCGGATCATTTACACAGGTCTTAAATTCAGAGTTGCTTTCTTCTCCTTTTCTAGTCATGACTCGATAACTTGAGCCATTCAATCCCAGGAGCATTAGAAGAGATTAGAAAGTTCATAAGGGAGTAAGTAAGTCTTTTAGTAAGTTCTAAGAAAGCTAATTCTTCACCAAGATACCATAGAAGCCTGTGAAACGTTTTAAAGGCAACGAACAACACATCTGCATTAACTCTCTTTCATACTTCACAGGCTTTTTCAGTAGGTAGTGCCAGATTATTATCAAGAAAATATTAAAACTGTTAGTAGACCAGACACATCCTTTCCTGAAGCCTCCCGTTTTCACACATGGAGGTAAGAAAAGCTCTTGAAAAATTCACGACGATGGGCATTTTGTTTCACATTCTTTGAAGATTGTGCAAGTAGAATTCAAAGGGTATTTAAGCTCCATATTTAGTTTTCAGGTAAGTCTCAGGGATCTTCAAAGATGCTTTTGTGTCCAACTACCTTAAGTTTTTACCAGGCCTACAATATTTCTGTAAACTTCAAAGAATAAGTTGATTCCTTGAAATTCATCTGCAAAGGTTATCCGAAAAAAGTGAGGTTCCCTACTTTATATCGTCCAAACCAGGGAGATAATTCATATATTTATACATTGTCTCCTATCCTTTCAAAGCCCTTCAGAGAGTTAACTCTCTGCAATATTAAAGTCAGCTCCTGAGCTGCAGCCATTTCCTTCTTAGTGACTTGCTTAACTGCGAACAGGTGACATATATAGGTGGATAGATCACTGGTTGGTTATTGGTACTATTTGGATGACCCTGGCATATTAATTTCAGGGAATAAACTAATATTTTGAAGCTCACAGAAATATTATGGGCGATTTAAAAACTTAAGGTGGTGGGACACAGGACTATCTTTGAATGAAACTTACCGGAAAACAAAATATCGAACTGAACCAACCTTGAATCATGCTTGAGCAATAAACAAAGGGTGTGAAACAAAACACCCATCATCTTGAATTTTTCATATCGACAAATGTGGAAACTGGCAGAGGAAGGTTTCAATTTCCTCTTGACATCTTCACCTTTTTTATGTAATCTTACATTTGGCAACAGTTATGAGAGGCTCCTAGAATCAGCTGAAGTACAGAAAAAAAGAGAGATGCAATAAAAAAGTAAACAGGAAAAAAGGTTTTGCATGAACTTACTATGATGTTTATCAGCTAACATAATAAGTGAACTAGGTAGGTCTCGTCTCCTGAAGAAGCACATTACTTTGGCTTCTACATTCCCACTGGGAGTCTGAAAAATGTAAAAAGGTTTCAAAATTTAGTTTTAAAAGGGCCATAATTACAACTTCGGACTAGTTTTTCAACAAAAGCTTAATGATAAGAGGGGTAAAATTATGGTGTCTACAATTTTCAATATTTTTAATTTACGGATATTCCCCTGAATGTTCCTGATTACCACGAAAAGTTATCTCGTGAAAACCACGATTTCCTATTATTTTCCTTTGGATTCTCTTGAGGGGGAAAAACAATATTATTCTCTGAGGTTCAGGAAAAAATTAACTTATCCATCTTTTGTCTCGCTCTTCAAAGCTAGGTCAATGCGAACCACCACCACTTCTATGATAAATTCACTATTTCCAGAAAAATAGTTTTTCCTTCACAGGTTTATTATTACTGCACTTGTATTTATACAGAGGTTCTCTTTTCGTGGCATCAAGTAAAAAATTTATCTTAAAAAAGTTGAGTGAAACATAAGATGATATAACGAGCTGACGGATTTATTTAAACTCCCTTCGAAACATCAAGGCCAACAATTAATTTTGTCTTCTCTCTTTACCTCACAGACTTTGCGTATTCTGTGCTTTGTGACTTTCTACAGTACCTATGACTTTTTTAGAACTAATATTGTACATTGTCCTAGATTACTTGAAGGGGTGTCAAATTTGACCTCAACCACTGCTACTTAGTTTTGGATGTTGAAAGCTGCGGAACGTACTTGTGTGGTAATGAATCTATGTCGTGGGCTCTAGCTTGTACAAAATAAAATTCTAAATTTGATAAAATCCTTGAAACCAAAATGTTGCTTCATACTTATACATAATGATTATCTTATCATACAAATGAATTTCATTGTAAATACTCAGAATTGAGAGGGTGTTTTATTTGGGGGGGGGGGGCATTCAAAAAGTATGAGACCCATCATTCCGATGGTACCTTCCAGGCAGAGGGTAGAATGTTTTCCACAACTTGCTAAGAAAGTAAAAGCAGTATGCAATTAGAATAACTCACTTTATTTAGTTCTTCTATTCTCCTAATGAGAAATGGTGATGTTGACGATGTTTCAAAATAAACATAATCTGAAAACAAAATAATACAAAGTCAATCAATCATTGGAACTAGAGATGCATTGGATGCAAACAGAAAATTACAAAGATAACATGTGATGCTTGCTTGCAGAACAAAAACAACTTGAGTTCAAACATTTTACAGAATCCTATGAAGTACGGCAAAGACACATTGACCTAAGTTAGAAAATTATATCTAATTTCAAGTAACAGGATGTACCTTAAACTCTAAAAAATCAGAGGTCAAGCATTATGGTTTGCGGCACTTGTGAACCAGGAATGTCACCATTATTTTGAAGTAATAAATATCACATGAGTCACAGACAGTAGTTCACTGAAAGCAGGGTCACCATAATTTCTTAATCTTCAAATTCTTTGACTCTAAAATTTTCCAATTACCTAACATTTTCTGACTTGCAAACAAAATTTCCACTTTCCCTTAAAATAAAGAAGAAAAATACACTGATTTTATGAAAAATTTGAAAAAATTTTCTGGTTTAAAGATCAAATTAAGGAAAAAGGCATTTCACAGCTAGTTAAGAGATGACTAGCCTTGAAAATGTCGCAAAGGGTACAAAGTTGAAAGCTCAGTTGTATATTTTAATGATTAGTGGACAAATAAGAAATTTCTTGACTCTTTCCAATAATTCCCAGACTTTTCCAGTTTTTCAGAATTTGACTGAGGCTTGGTACTGAGTCTTCATTGGCCAGATGCCTCAACTATGAGGGTTAGGATCAAATGGAATCCTATTTGAACACCTTCCCATATATGGCCTTGTCCACACGAACGCAGTTCGCGGAACTCAGTTCGAGGAACTTGTTCCCGGAACAAGTTTTTTGCTGAGCTGAAACTTATTCCTCCAAAACCTGGAATTTCCCCCATGCTCCGAGCTTCTAAATATGTTTCTTTTGATGTGAATTTGCTTGTTTTTGTTTTTCACGTCCTTTACATATGATCTTGACATTTATTTTTGTTACTTTGGCGGTCATAATAATCTATTATTTTGCAATAATTGTATAGTTTTATTGAAGTTCCGGTTCCAGTTCGGACGAACCCGTGTGGACAGCATGCCTCGTTTCAAGGAATAAGTTCCGGGAACTGAGCAAGTTCGAGGAATAAGTTCGAGGAATAAGTTCCGCGAACTGCGCTCGTGTGGACAAGGCCTATGATTAGGATTTAGGCCACACTGATGGTAATAATAGGACTCTTACAGGTTATGCTTTCAACGTAAGAACAGAGCACTTGATTCCTCCCGCATTAATGTCCAAGTTCTGGACAAAAACGCTCTCTGCTTATCACTCATTCTCCACTGAGTAAGAAGCAGAGGCAGAAGATAATTTCTCTCCAAAAATCACTTTGGAGCACTCATGTTGGGAACTGAGAAGTGGCATTTTCATAACAGTGAGTAGATATTGCATTTACAGCAATGTTGCTGGAATTTCCGCTATTTCCAGATTTTCAGCGATCATCAGTTTTCTTGAAACATGTCTTGAGGGAATTACTTTGTCGGAGTCTTCTAGCACTTTTCTTGGTCAGGCCACATGATATATTTCCCCCAATGTTTAATGGCAAAATTTGAAATGGTGTCTTTTCAACCGCCTGAGAAGAATTTAGGCACTCATTAGATCAGTGCCCCATGCAGGTACGTAATTCTTGCTCCACTCATTAACAGAACTAAGTACCAATTATGTCTGGCGGGCGATCGCTTTAATAACTTCCCTGCTAATGGCTACCTGTCTTGAGCGGAAGCATCATATGTTGAGACGAAAGTCAAGTATTGTTTTGTTTGGGTCACCACTCATTAGTGGTGCTATCTGACTGCATGTATTAACCTGATGAGTGGTGCTGATTCTGAGGAAATCGGAGATTGACATTTCACTTGTCTCAACGTACGATGCTTCCACTTTGACTGGTATGATCTACAAGGTATTTGAGTGTAACTGAAGTGAGCCGTGCTATGATATCATCAAAACTGGCAATCTGCAAACGCCAGGTAAATGCTACAAACTGGCTTTAAACTAAGCATCAATCAACAAAAGTCTTCCCCCAAGAGAAGGAATCGTAGGCATAATTGAACTAATGAGCGTAAACTAATCAGCAAAATTATCAGCTCCAAAGTAATTTTGGAAATGACGTGCCAAAGAGACACTTGATACTTATAAAGCTACGATAAGGTGGCCATGAATACAGGAGAATAGGACAGCGGAGCTAGAAATTAAGACGTCCGCTGAGGACTCCCATAAAAACAATAGGTTTCTTGTGTTGTTAGTGAAAGGTTATGTTTGTCTGCAGAATGCAAAGATCACTGGAGGAATCCTAGGAAGAGCAATCAGGAAAGAACGGGAATGGGACATGAATAAGTGTCATCCGTGATCGGAAGAGAAAAAATTGGAGGAAACCGCTAACGACAGCGGTAGGGGCTGGAATTAACCTAGCATCTTCAAACATCAACATCGTACCATGCCGATATTTTATAGTCCCGAAAAGATCGTCAACACTCCGTGGAGACAGGGAAAAGAAGCAAGCGAATTATTTAAAAGGTGGAGTAAGGAGGTAAAGTTGAGAAAGATTCGAAAATCCGGTTAGTAAAGTCATTTCGAGGGTTCAGCTAAAATAAAAGGTGATAATTACACCTTATTAATATCACTCCGCTCCGGAGACAGAAGGCCTACGCTTCTACTCGGAAAGTCAAAGTATGAACATTATTACACCTCACCTCCGATCCTATACATATTAGCCGCCATCGTGACACTACTTTTTACATACCAGCACAAAAATAATTACAAACAATACATTAATAAGGTGAAAAATACAATACGGAATTTCCACATTTCGAGCTCATCCTAAACACACACTCTCGCCATTTTCATTGGTCTCTCTTTCTATCTTTCTCCCACCAACGACTTGACCCTCTCTGTCCCACTCCCCCCTCTGATTGGTTCACATCTCTTCCTTAAAACACTCCAGTGACGTCACTGAGGACAAGATACAAAGAAATTTTAGAAATCCAAAAATGAGAGGACAGTCACCCCTTCTTACAATTAATTAGGCGCCAACTTACATATTAGAAATAAAACGTTCAGCCTCTTATCACCTTAAGTCTATGCTGTTGGGCGGGTCAAAACAGAATTCGTTCTTTTTCTTGCTTCGTCTGTAATAACGAAAAACGAGAGTCAAATGTATTTAATTCGCCCGTCGATATGTACATACACCATACCTGGGTACATACTTACTAAGTCAAGTACGGGGCGCTTCGAAGGGATGAAAATCGAACATGTATTTGTTGAAAAACTGAAATATAAAGCCACGCTGAATCCCACGAGTTGTCGTACAATCTTACACTGCGGACAAGAATTTCATATGCAATCATTTTGAGGATTTTCGGCGTTTCTACTGACAAGAGATACTTACCTATAGCTGCAAGTCGAAGAACGAAAATGTCATTAGTTCAGACATATTTTGGAGCTTTCGGCCAAAACTTGCAATCAGAGATTTACTGAAATCACGCATTGCCCTACCGTATCGTGCTTCTAGGGAAGG